ATATTAAATAAGTTATTATATAGGTTATCTGTGTATAAAAGAGAAATATTTTCCAAATTTACTCGGCTGAGAAAGCAACACATGAGTTGTAAAGTACTGTCCATATAAAAAGTGTTTTTTGATAGACAAAGAAATCCTGTTATTTTAGAATAAAAAAAAATTACATTTTAAAACTAATATGCAATTTTTCATATATAATTGAAAATACCCTTCAAAATCAAATAATGTGTAACCTGAAAACGGGGAAAATTACCATAAATCCAAATTTATTTTTTAATCATTCTCTTTTAATTGTAGAATTTACAGTTCTTCCCTACGAACAATACATATAGTACTAGTTAAAGAATAATATTTTGAATAATACCTAGATTAATACTTATGCATTTATTTACTTTCAAAATTACCTTGTAAAAAAGAAAGAAAAGCAATTTAAAAAAAAATTCTTTTTCTCCTAAAACTTTAATTAAAGTTTTCTTACAGCTCTAAAATTTTTTAGGAAAATGTAATTCGAAAGAAGTCTACACTGAGAATTAACATGATTTGGATTTGAATAATCAAAATTATATGAGTTCAGTTTAGTGTTATTTTTAACGTTGGTAAATAAAAGTAAATTAAATATTAATAAAATTAAAAATTTATTTAATATTATTTAGTGAATTTAATATTATTGAGTAATTAACACATCCAAAAATGATTTAATTTATAAAATTATTGAATGTCTTCTCTATTGTTGTAAAAAACATGTTTTGGTATACGTTTTTCCCTTAAAGAATATTTATATTTATTACATATTGAAAATTTATAAAAAACATGTTTTGGTATAAATTTTTCCTACAAGAAAAAGTTTTTAAACTTCATAAATGATTAATTTTAGCCATAAGAAGATTTGGTTCCCAAACTAAAATAATAATTAAAATTAATAAAATATTTTTTAAATTTCGAATTTTAAGATTTATGCATTTAAAATACAAATTTAAATACAGCAAATGTATAAATAAAATATAATTTTAGCTGTACAATTGACTTATTTTAGATAAAAATATACAAATTTTTGGGTTAACTGCCACACTTTTGTAGTTACACTTTAAGTAACACCTTTTGTATTTTTTTTTCAGGAGTAAACAAATCTATGCCCAATACCTGGTTCTTTTTTTAATAAATCAATTTATAGAGATTTTGATAATATAAATAACCTAAACAATAGACTTGAATCATTTATAAAACAGACTTGATACATTGTATAAATGTTTGAATTATTTATATTATATAGTGGTTTTTGCATTAATTATATTATATCTCACAATTCAAACATTTATACAATAGACTTATTGTGGTATGTCTAGACTGGCAGCAATATTTTAAATAATTTTATTTACCTTTTAAACTTCTTTTTAAAAATTTTACTTCTTAAAAAATTCTTCTACAAAAAGTGTTAGAGTTGGCAGCTTTGCAAATCTGATATGTTTTTCAGAGAATGGGTCATTATCTTTTACATTAAGAAATATATTTTATATTTAACATGATTCACATGTTATGGTGCATTCTTTTTGATAAATAGAAACATTTTTTAACTAATGAGAGACATAAACATAACTCTAAAATATAAATGGATCACTCAGAATAAAATAAACAACAGATTTTAACTAAACCTTACGTACTGAGATACGAGAAAAGACTAGGATAAATTCGTTTTGACTTCAGACAAATTTTGAAAGTAGATTGTGAAATATTTGGCAGTCGAAAATTCATTTGATGCTTCAGCATGTGAAATATTGACCCGGTACTTATTATTTCAAAATTTGAGGTTGGTTCAAATCTGCTGTTTTTACTCTGAGAGCCTCAAATAAATTAGTGCTTATAACACATATATTATTTATAACATGATATATTATAAAAATATTAATTATAACATAAAATAAGAATAGCTAAATTAAGTATTAAACATTAAAATGATAATAATTATAATATAAATATAGGTTTCAATTTAATTAACAAACAATTTTATATAAGTCAAATATCAGTCTAAAATTTTAAATATAAAACTAAAGATTTTAAAATATTTTAATAACACATGAAACCACTTAGTTATAAAAGTTTATTAATTTTGATTAGTTTTTTCACCATTGCCAAGCAATATATTTTTGCCTAACATAAATGATACACTTAAAAACATAGATTTATAAAATAGTACATAATCCTTTTCAAACTAATTTTTATCTCCCAGATGAATCAACTCCTTTTCCCTGATTAAACAAATTGAGTGAAAGACAAAAACTTTATGAAATAACATAGAAGTCTAAAGCTAAAGATAGTTTATACACAGCATAATTTTACAACAAATGATAGCTGACTAACTTAAAAGGCTAAATTACACCAGGAACAATTGGCATCAAACATGGAATAATTTGAGTATTTTTTAAAATTGTAAATCACGCACAGATTAGAAGCAGTTTAACACATTACTTGAGAAAGAGAATTCAATAGTGTTCTTCTCCAAAACATTATTTAGACACCATGAAATGTTATTCTTCGTATATTTTTAAAATAAAAAATAAACTGCTGTTACAAAAATTCAGCTCTTAATTGTCAAACAAATCATAAGATATTTTTATTACTTATATTAATGTTAGGTGAAGAAAACAAGCTTAAATTGACATTTTTTGTGACATAAAACACACAGACTCATAAAACAGTCAGTAATAATCATTAAAATAACATAGTTATTTTTGCTGCTTAAAAACTATATATTTACAATATTTATTGCATAAAATTACAGTTCATACTTTACCGAATCAAGCATAAGTAATTTTTAAAACCATTAAAAAATAAAATAAAAAAGGATATTTATATGTGATTTTAACATTTCAAATTATCATGATGCGATTTCAGAAAAGTAATTCCTTAACATTAAAATTAAATAATATTTTAAATAAAATACAATCCAATATTACATACAATGTTGTGAAATGAAAAAAAAAGAATGCAATCAGAATAAAATTAAAGTTTTAACTTTATAAAAGAGAGTTGAACAATATCTTGTATTTAATTTATGACAATTGGAAATACAATTACAAACATGATACAAAGCATGCATAAAATGTGGAGTTTAGTATTAAAAGGCCATAGTGATTGACATTTAACCCTTTTAATACAAGCCCTTAAATATTCACAAACATTTTATATCTCTTAGAGAAAAAAAAAATAGTAAAAGATAATTTTTTACAGAACTTATAAATACAAAAATTTTGATATTGCTGAAAGGCATATTTTTTATTATTGTGAACAATTAATTAATTAGTAAGTCTTATTTAATTGATCCTCTTCAAAGCTCAGTAAAAGCAGAAACAACATTTAATGTACTTTAAAATGCTTGAAAACCACTAAAATAAAAATTAAAACTATAAAAAAATTGTGCCCTAATATATTTTTATGGTAAAAAATATTTAATTACCATTTAAAATCTTTTTGTGTTAAAGTTAAACAGTATTCTGGGTGCTTTCAACTATGTGTATCTTATTAATAAAAGTCAACATTACTTCATATATAATACTGTAAAATAATATTTACACTTGTAATTGGAGAGCTTAAAAACTTTGATGTCAACTTAAGAAATACATAGATGGACCAATGAAAATATAAAAAAAGAGCTTCAATTATTCTAATCAGTTGCATAAATAATTTTTTTAGATGCTTAAATATTATATTTTATTAATAATTTATTTACAATAAATTACTTTATAACAGTTTTCTATTCATTGAATTAAAAATTTTGAAAAGGTTTCTTCAGTTATTTTGTTAATCAGTTAACTTATTCCTTTTAATACGTTAATGTATTAAGTTAGATTCTTCTAATTAGCCTTAATCTACAAGCTACATAAGCTTGAAACATTTTTCAGTTTTATCAAAAACTCAAAATAAAAAAATCCATTAAAAAAAAAATTCAAAAGTTTAGTTTGAAAGCTTATTTGATTAGAATTTGTGTTAATGGAAGTTTTATATTAATATATTGTTACATCAAAATGATTGTAAATAATAGTGATAATTATGATTGTCTATAATAGTGTAAATTTTTGTGCTTTACCAAACAAAATGTGCATTTGACTATCAGAATCAAATCAGGTTTTTGTTTTAAAGTGAAACATCTATCAAATGTTTTTAAAAATAAAAGTCAGGTTAATAATTTATCATTATTTACACATTTTGATACATTTCTTAGCATATTTTTAATTCAGATGAAAAATTCTTAATTGAGTATTTATTTGATAAAAATATCATTTCTGAGTTAAATTTAAGCAATTTCATAACTTTTAACTTGAAACCTGTGATTAAAATTCAAAAGCATCAGAGGCTATTTTCACAAACATTCGTCCAGTTATGCAACAAAAAGACAGTCAAGAGTAAAAGTTGTTTAATATAGGAACTAAACTGTTGCACTTTATACTTTTATGACAGTTATTACAACATGAGAAATACACATGTAGCCTTCTAAATGTAGCATTTATTATGCAAAATATTGTTTTTTCCACCAATTGCTCTGACATCAACATGCATTTAAAAAAATGCATGAATAATAAAAATAACACAAAACATATTAAAATTGTTGTCTATTTAAATATACGAAGGTTTATTTATTAATTTTCTGCATAGAATTTCTAAGATAGTTAACATGCTAGCATTAATTACTGTTTTAACCTTTTTAGTGATTGATTAAGAATTATTGAATTTAGAAGGTTATTGGTATAGCATTAAAAAATTCCAACAATTTTGTCAAGGTAAACTAGGTTCATAAATACAGTTTTTGAAATTTACAAATGCAAAGCTTTGTAAAACTATTTTTGAAAAATACATGTAATAATAGTAATTTTTTTTCACCTTAATGGTTTAATGAATGCCTTTGTAAATTTTGTGTTAAATAAGTCTTGACGTTTAAAAAAAAAGCTCACAGCTTATCTAAGATATTTTTCAAGAAAGGTTAAATTGATTTTCTAATTTATACTTACCATTTACACATTTCACAGCATTTGCTCCCTGTAATGAATAATCATATGACCTTTCAAATTAGATTTTTGTGAAAAACGTTTTTTACAATAGGTACATTGGAAGGGTTTTTCCCCAGTGTGAACTCTGATGTGCATTTTCAACTTCGCTTTATCAATATTAGAATACTGGCAAAAAGTACATTGGTATATTCCACTTTTCTTGTAAAATACTGAAAAATAAAAGCATAGGGTATAGTAGGTATACTTAAGATCAAATATCGAGATTCGTATTTACACAATTCACAAGATTTTAAAATCAAACATAGAGATTCGGATTTAGGCGATTTTAAAATTAAATGTCGAGATTCGTAGTTGCATGATTTAAAAATCATGTAAATATTCAAATAATTTAAATAAAAAAAATATGCACATTCCCACAATTTAAAACCAAAAAATTTCCCATCCTTGTTGCAAAGTTGATAACATTCTGTGCACAAATGCTTTATGAAGACACTTCCCTCCCTCAAATTTCAAGTACTTTTTTCAATTATTTAAAAAGTATATCATATAAGTGTAATATCAAACATATATTGTATGAAACAATATAGAGAGATAGTATATAGAGAACAATATAGATTTAAAAGTTTATATAATGAGAATTTTTTTTACAAATATAAAGACTACAAATAATTTTTTTAACCAGTAATTTTGTTATTTGTTGTCATTTTGTCATACTAAGCAAACATAAATACTAAGCCTAGCATTCATTTAAATTTAAAATGAATGTCATAAGAAATACACTCAAATAAGGATAAAAAGTATTTGTAAAATATTTTATAAAAGACAAAAAGTAAACAAAAATAAAGGCTGAACATGTTCATTATATCAAGTATAAAAAATATTTTAACTTCTTTCCTTCAAAAAATGGTTTTTATTTCAAATTATTTTAACATTAATGGGAATCACAAATTTACTTCACTAGATTACAGAGCAGACAAATTTATTATAACATGCACATTACAAATGAAATAGTTTTGTCAAATTTTTTAAGCATTTATCAGTGGTTATGTAAAACTGAGGACGAGATATTATATTTACCAATTCTCTTAGCAACAATTAAAAACTGAAAAAAATTTGATAAACAACTATCACTAGTTGTAACTTTTATGAAGAAATTGAATATTTAAAAGATAAATATTTGGATCAAGCAAATTATATTAAGATGTTTTACACAAATTTAATCAAGTTCTTCATAAAATTTTAATTTAATTTACGGTTAAGGTGTAGCATTAGTGGCTTCTTGGTTTGGCAATAATTTTTGCTCAGTTTTGCTGAAACCCTGTTTCTAGTAACCTTGTTAGTCTTTGCTTTCAATATCTTCAGGTTATTGCAACTTTTGTTTCTAATTGTGATTTGTTCTTGTTTCATTTTCAATTATATATGTTAGGATTAAAGTAATAAATTCGGTTATTATTATTACTAACAGGGCATAACAATAGTAACTGCTTCTTTTGGTCAAAATGAGAAATAAAAAGGGGAGATTTCTGTATTATGATTAGTGACAGAATAATCGCCAAGTGTGGGCAACTTCCAAGCAGCAGCCTATGACAAAATAAAGAAAAACATCACAGAAAGGGACCAACTCGTAGGGTATAACTTGTAATCTCACCCCCCCCCCAGGAAAACATCTACATGTTTTCTTTCAAATTTTTCTTCCAGTTTAAAATCAATCTAGCGCCTTGACGATTGTATTTGGTGCGGCAGATCACGATACGAAAATATTCCCAATCAAAACGTGAAAGAATGACATTGACCAAACTTCATTGGTATTATTATTAATAATAACCAACTGATGTGATCAATTCACGTTAATTATTCCCCTTAATCAGCTTATTTGGTTATTATTAGTATTAACCGGTTAGTACTAATAAAAACCAACTATTCACATTGCTCAAACATATTTATATATATATTGGTTTACCTTCAAATTACCAGAGAGGGCACCTGATTGTAAACTATTATCTTCTTTGCTTTTCAGAAGAAAAAAAATTCTATAGATTTTGTTGTGATAAATATTTCACCATAGAGTAATTTGTGCTTATGCTTACATAAAAATAGCTTTATATTATTTTCAATTGTTTTGTTTAAAATTAAACTGACTTTTTTCCCTCTCAAAAATTACATTTCTCTTATAAGGGCTATATAATCACACTTTTGCATTTCTATGATCAATAGTTTAGAAACATTATACTTAGTACTTTAGTTTAATATTTGAATATAACCTAAATTTCAGATATTAATTAGTTAAGATATTTGTTCAGATAATTAGTTCAGATATTTGTGCCATTTTGAAGCATAGCATAATAACTAATAAAACTTAGTACTCAAAAAGTTACTCAAAGAAAAACTTTTTCTCTGTTGCAAAATTAGAAACAAAAATAATGGCTATAATAAATTATTTTTATCATTTAATGTAATCTTTAACTATTTTTTTGTTCGCAAAGTTTGTTTTTTGAAAAAATGTAGCAAAGCAAAGCATCATATTTCATTTCCAGACAATTTTCAGTTAGGAAATAAATTATTTAATAAATTCAGCTGAAGACATTGCGGAATTTTTCAGGAGCTTGTAAAATAAAATAATGTATATAATCTAATCTTAATAATTACTTTTTGTAAATAAATCAGATTTTATAAAAATAAATATTTTTTAAAAATCAGAAATAAACTTTAATGCCCCCATTTTTAACTAACTAACAACAATTTTTTGTAAACTAACAACAAGACATTTGTGACACCAAAAGACATGCAGCCACCTGTTTTTTTTCTTCTTAAAACTAAAAACCACTTTTTCATTTGTTATTCAATTAGAAAATTGTGAGTAAGGGAAGGAGTTTCCATCTAGCTTTTTCAAACATGGAAACTCCCAATCTGTTTATAACAACTAAAGAGAAGGAATAGTTTAAATACACAATAACTACTAATCAAATAATGCACTATTAATTATAATTTCATAATTATTTAATACAAATCACAAGAAATTGTCCTTGAAATGAGTATTCATATGACGAATTAAAGTACTTTTTCGATTAAAACATTTTTTACAAGTGTTACACTGGTAAGGTCTTTCTCCAGTATGTGTTCTGAGGTGCCTCGTTAAATCTCCCTTCAACATTGTAGAATAAGTGCAATATGCACAATGATGAACAGTTCCAAATTGTTTGGTGAAACTATCTGAAATATAAAAAAGAAATTTTTTTATACTGTTTTTTTTAAAACTAGTTTACATAAGAAGATTAGCAAAATTTGCATAGAAGCATAATTCTACAAGTAATTTCATTTCATTTTATAACCAGAGATGAAGAGCCAAGCCAATTTCATTCTGAATTTGCAATTATCAATGTTCAACTTCGTAACCTTGTAATTTTGAACATAAACCAGAAAACAAAGGAACTCCTGGATCAAGCAAATTTTTGTGCAGGGCTTTCTGATGGAACTGACACATATTTGTTGCTTTACATGGAAAGGAAAACTATAAAAACAGTGCACAGGCAGTCTGACTGCAAGGGGACTCTAACCCATGATTCGCAGGTAATTAGCAAAAGAATAAATAGTAAATTGCATCCAATAAAAAAAACCAAATATATAGTCTGCCTATGGAAAGAACTCCCCATATCATTCGTCTGGTACAGTGGCGGTGACTATGGTTATGAGGTTCAACTACTTCAAGAAGGGGTGTTAGGTCAATATTTAAGACAGGTTTTGGCTCAAGTCAGAGAGAGAAAGGGAATCAGAGGAAAGAGAAGGTCCCCTCTTTGAAATGCGGTGTTTCTTGTTTCCATAGAAGAAGACGACCTCGAACTTTGTGGCAAGGGTAGTTCTTTTTATATACAAAATAAACGTATTCTTTATGTTTTTGAATGTTAACAGCTGAATTTTTTTTTACTTAGAAACATTTGCAATAAAAAAGAAAAAAATTTACTTTTTGAACTGATTAAGTTCAAAAAGTAAGTGCTGCTAAGACTTTTCCAACAAGAATATTAAGATGAAAAATTGAATCTAATTATTTTTAATAAACACAGAACATAGATATACACTCAAAATTATAATTGATTGATACAATATACAATTACAACAATACTAGAAGTATTCATATGATAACAGAACAGAAAAAATACACATTTATTTATTTTCCCAAGTCAAATAGGTGTAACTCCTATTTTTAATTGAAAGTATATTTTTACTTAAAAAAAAAGAATAAATCACTGAAAATTAAATTTAATATTCTTGAATGATGTCTTAAACAATATACAAAAACAATTTTGAAATATTTGGATCTTTTAAAACATTGATTTCTATATCTTAACCTAATAAGTACATAAAAAATTTAATAGTCTTAATACGCATTTTATAAAACTCACTAACATAAGTCTTTGGTTGAAAGGTTTCTGTTGCAATAAAATAAATGAAAGTTTGTTTGCTTTCCACAATGATCAAAATTTATTTTTGCAAACTTGTTTACTTTATTATCTAGGGAAAAAATGAAAAAAAAAGGCATGCAAAAAATTTCCTCTAAAAATTTAGATAGCTGACTATAAATTATTAGATATCTGTGTAAAGGTCACTTCATTGTTCAAAACATAGATTATTTTATGGCTAAAAATGTGGCCGATTCAAGTGCCAAATTTACTTGAGATTATTGAAGTGAGTTAAAAAAGTTTTGTCACTGGTGAAACTTATGTTGAGATTTCTCATTTCCTCTGCCTCTATGTCCTAATAGTTCATCTTTTTTAACATCGTACAATGGGAAAAAATTCTTCTTAAAATTAATTAGTTATTAAAGAAGTTTATAAAAAGATCCTCAAGTCTTCCTCTTTTAACCTCATGGAAATGCTACGTTTAATAAAACAAATGTAACTTTTGATTAAATGATCAGATTTACACATTGATTGTTCTAAACATATTCACTATTTGTCAGGTATTTTTTTCAAAACACGAAGAAAAAAAAACATTTCATAGTGTCCAAAAATTAATGGACAGTTTTTAACAAAATAAATACAGTTAAGTTAAAAAAAAAACATGTAATGCTAGCAGAAAATTCACGTAACAGTTCCGGAATAAAGATATTGTTTACGTTCAACATTTAATCAACAGATGGCTCTGCAGGTCATAAACCTGTAAACAAATGAAAATAGTAATTTTTTTTAAACCTTTTAATAAAGTAAAATAAATTTACAAATTCAAATGTCCACTATCAGCAGCAATCACCTGTAGTAATTAGAAGAAAAAATTAACCTACACAATGAAAAAACAACAACATTAGAACAGTCTTGCAGTGCCCTCTGTCAAAAACTTCTTGAACCAAAACCACAGAAAATTTATGCCTGGTAACATAAAATTAATGCTATTGTTTTTTTTTTAACCATCCTGGTTTCCTGTTACAAATTTCCAAGAACAGTCTATCTAATTTAGTATGCAACACCCTTATAAATATTATATTACTTCAAAGATAAGTAATCATACAAAAAGTTATCAGATATAAAAAAAAAACTATTTATTACAGGTAAATAATTCTAACAATAGACAAATAAACAAATTTTACAAAATATATTTTATAACAAAAAACATGACTGAATGACATTTTCATGATTCATATAGGTTATAAGAAATATTTCAGTAAATGAATTAACTTATGACGCTCTAAATTAAAATTAAAAGATTTTTCACAAATGTCACATTTAAAAGGTTTTTCACCAGTATGAATCCTGATGTGCCTTCAACATTGTAGAGTAGTTACAAAAAGTACATTTATATTTTCCAACTTTTTCGAGCCAGCCTGAAACATAAAATAACTTTATAACACTTGTGACAGAATATAGTAAACATTCACATTACATACTTCTTTAATCGGTTCAAAATTTCACCTTCTACACTTTCGGTCAAAATTAAGATCATAGCAATAACCAGTCATTGTGCCTTTGCACACATTTATTCTACTATTCATAATGGTTTATTTATCAACAACTAAGAGAAATATAATATGTTTAATCAAGTATTTTTATCATAAAAAGTGAAACATCCTTTTATTTATCATAGAAAATTAGGTATGCTGCAACACATAAAAGGTGCAACAAGAAAATATGACAAAAATAAATAAAGCTCTAACTCAATGCTTTATTTAGGTCAACGAATGATCAGATCATCTCATGTAAAAGCAGATTAAATTCTTTTTTTTTCTAAAATTTTAGAGAATCAGGCACAGTTTTTTAAAATTTCACAAACTGGAAGCAATCCGGAAGAGTCAATTAGGTTAAAAAAATTAATAAAAAAAGAATTCTTAGCACAAAAATCTGCACAGGCAAATTTATTGCTGTAATTCAATATTGGTGATCGAAATGGGCTATAGGTGGTGCGCATCAGTCATAGCAACACTTTAAATGCTTTCAACATTATCATGTGGATAGTCATAAGAAAAAAGTTTCTCTCTGGATTTTTAAACCTATTAAAAATGTTTAAGCACAGAAACTAAATAGAACTCAAAACTCTAATAAACATTGTGTTTAAAGTAAAATTTAGTATATATTTATTACAATCCAAATATTTTCTTAACGGCAGGCATTGAACTTAATGTTCTTCGCCATGCTATAAGTGTTGCTGATTTTGCCTGGTGAGCACCTTGTGATCAGAGACACGGAGGCGAGCAACAGATACCCGTTTATAGGTTAGGCCACATACACACATGACAGAGGATGAAAACAAAACGGAGAGAAACGTCCATGACCTGAGCGGGATTTGAACCCGTTGGCCTCGCAGTCAGGCACGCTAACCGCTAAACACAATTCAAATATGAAAAGTATTATAGAAGAGAAAAACAATGTAAGACATTCTCATTAATTCGAGAAAATTCTAGAAATGAAACTGGTCTTTCTTCCAGACAGCATAATCAAGTGTTCAGATCGCAAATATTTTTACAAAATTATAAAAAAGATTATATCATAAAATATTTAACTTTGATACTTGTATGCTTTCTTCACTATTTCAACATACTGCATTTTGAGATTTTTAACATTGATTTTTGCTTTTTAATATGATTACCAGCAAATATAATAGTAATTATAGTTCGTATTTGATATGCATTTTTTTAGAAGTAAGCTGCATTTTTACTCATTAAAAAACTCAAAATATTTAAAGCTTAAAACATGCTTTTTTAAATAATAAATGAGCGTTAAGCAAATTAATTTCCACAAAAATCAAAGAAAATAGAAAGTATATGAATTTCAAACTGAACATACTCAATATTCAAATTAAATCAAAAAGAGAACGCATAAGTTTTAACTAGATATTTTACCAAGATCAAATCGATTGTATACTTTAAGAAAACATAACTGGTGTAAACGTAATATGGCAATATATAAATTTACAATGAGGTTTTTTCGAAAAAAAAAAATAATTTCAATAATTTGATGAAAAGGTCTAATTACAGTTTGAGTTTGATGGGAATGACGAAACAAACTTGAAAGAGATTGAATATAATTGAAAGGTATAGTTGTGAGCCTTACCGTCACTTGCTAAAAAATGAAAAATTATTAATTTATGTCTTTTAGATAAGAACTAACCGATAATAACCGTTACTGACTGTCACCTCTGCAACACTAAATTAATATTCTATTAAGCTTTAAATATATTCCCTTTTTCAGCTTTAATGCAAAATTCCTTTTATTACAGTTATTTTTTGGTATAAAAATTATTAAGCGTTTTTTGAAATATTTTTGAAAAAGAGGGACATTAAAGACCATCTATAATTGTTTTCTCATAGCTGCATACATTCAATATGTATTTTAAGAATATTTAATTGTTACTAACATGTAATTGTGGATGTCGTTTGGGCAGGGGACAGTGGGTAAGTGTTTCCCTCAATAAATAAAATTTTTTAATGAACCCCTCAAAATATTCAGATTGATAAAAAATTATGAATTACTATCATTTTAAATTCAACTAAGTCAAGAGAAAAGCAAGAAATAAAAAACAATTAATAATTTTGAAGGTGAGAAACGGTAAGAAATTTCTTTTGCCTTTTTCTTTCTGATGTATCTTGTTTTCAGACTATTTTAACTGTATAGTTTAATCTTCCAAAAAATGCAAGCCTGAAAACTGAACTGAATGGACTTTTGGAAAATTGCTATATAACCAAAAGAAAAACGATTCTTAATAAATAACAATAATAATTTAGTAAATTAAAAAAAAATTGTTTCTGCGCTGCTAAAAAGTTTATTAAAGAGAGGTTAAATGGCTTTTTGTTTGATACTTACTACATTTCTTACAGCACATGGGTCCTGTAATGCGTAAGCATATGATTTTTCAAACTACATTTATGTGAAAAGCGCTTGTTACAAATCGGACACCTAAAGGGTTTTTCACCAGTGTGAACTCTGATGTGGGAGGTCAACTTTGCTCTGTCCTTGTTTGAGTACTGGCAAAAAGTGCATTGATAAAATCCATCTTTCTTTGAAAAGGCTGCAATGTAAAATCACAAGCTGAATCGAATTTATTCTTTTACAAACAAAATTTAACTGACTGAGGATTACATAGAAATTTTTCCTCCATACTCAACTTTCTAATTAAATACAAGAGGTTATTTTGATTTTTTATTAGGAAAAACTAAAAGGTTAAAATGTTTTTAAGCTTCATAAACACTCAGTCAGTTAAAGAAATAATTTAATGTGATGCATATAGATATATNTTTTTTGAAAGTTGTTTACCTTACCATCATTTTGGAAATAATCATTAGTGTATTACTTCATCGTTTTTCCTTATTTTTAATATTATTTACAAATTTTTTTAAATTATTTTTTAGTTGGGTTTAACAATAAAAGAAACGGCTTTTTGTAGCGATTCAGAAAACCGGAAAAATCAGTTATCCGGAACAGCGATGGTCCCGACCGTTCCGGATAATCGGTTCCCTACTGTATATAAAAAGAAAATGATATGAGAAATTAAATAATAAGTAAATCTCTAACTCAATGTTTTATTTAGGTCAACGAATGATCAGATCATCTCATGAAAAAGCAGTGTAAAACAGATTAAATTATTTTTTTCTAAAATTTTAGAGAATCAGGCACAGTTTTTTAAGATAAGAAAAACTGAAAGCAATCCGAAAGAGGTTAAAAAAAATTAATAAAGAAAGAATTCCTAGCACAAAAATCTGGCACAGCAAATTCATTGCTGTGATTCAATATTGATGATCGAAATTGGCTATAGATGGTGCGCAGCAGTCATAGCAACACTTTGAATGCCATTTTTTAGCTTTAATGCAAAATTCTTTTTATTACAGTCATTTTTTGGTTTAAAAATTTCACGATTTTTTAAAAATATTTTTGAACGAGAGGGACATTAAAGACCATCTATAATTGTTTTCCCAGAGCTGCATACAAGCAATATGTATTTTAAGAATATTTAATTTTTACTAACATGGAATTGTGGGTGTCGTTTGGGCAGGGGACAGTAGGTAAGTGTTCCCTCAATAAATAATAATTTTTAAAGAACCCCTCAACATATTCAGATAGATAAAAAAATTATGAATTACTATCATTTTAAATTTAACTAAGTCAAAAGAAAAGCAAGAAATAAAAAACAATCATTTTGAAGGTGAGAAACTGTAAGAAATTTCTTTTGCCTTTTTCTTTCTGACGTATAGTTTAATCTCCAAAAAAATGCAAGCCTGAAAACTGAACTGATTGGACTTTTGGAAAAATGCTACATTGCCAATAGAAAAACGATTCTTAATAAATAACAATAATAATTTAGTAAATTAAAAAAAATTGTTTGTGAGCTGATAAAGAGTTTATTAAAGAGAGGTTAAATGGCTTTTTGTTTAATACTTACTACATTTATTACAGCACATGGGTCCTGTAATGCGTAAGCATATGATTTTTCAAACTACATTTATGTGAAAAGCGCTTGGCACAAATTGGACACCTAAAGGGTTTTTCACCAGTGTGAACTCTGATGTGGGAGGTCAACTTTGCTCTATCCTTGTTTGAGTACTGGCAAAAAGTGCATTGATAAAATCCATCTTTCTTTGAAAAGGCTGCAATGTAAAATCACAAGTTGAATCAAATTTATTCTTCCACAAACAAAATTTAACTGACTGAAGATTATATAGAAATTTTTCTGCCATACTCAACTTTCTAATTAAATACAAGAGGTTACTTTGATTTTTTATCAGGAAAAACTAAAAGGTTAAAATGTTTTTAAGCTTCATAAACACTCAATCAGTTAAAGAAATAATTTAATATGATGCATATAGATATATAATGAATATACAATTGGTTTTTGCTTGCATGCACAAGTTCTGTTTAATTGCACCGAGATTAAAAAAAACAAACAAACAAATAGTAATATGTAGTATGCACTTAGGTAATGAAAGTAAACAATGCTTTAAACTTTGACAATCCTGTCAAACAAGTTATAAGTCAGTTAAAGAAATAATTTAATATGATGCATATAGATATATAATGAATATACAATTGGTTTTTGCTTACATGCACAGGTTCTGTTTAATTGCACCAAGATTTAAAAAAACAAACAAATAGTAATATGTAGTATGCACTTAAGTAATGAAAGTAAACAATGCTTTAAACTTTGTTTGACGCAAAAACAAAAGAAGATGTTACTTGGACATCTCAGAATTGTGAATAAATATACCTGAAGAAGATAAGCTTCAGAAGATTAACAGATGAGAAAAATTGAAAAAATATATATCAAAAAGATTCCTTTAAATCATAATAATAAAATACAATTAAAAAATATTATAAAGAATAGTATATAATTTTAAAATCAAAGAAACCATGAACAAAAATAGACATTATAAATAATGTCTGAATCAGGGGTAAAAGTAGCTTCAAGTAAAATTTTCTGAAGAAATTATGTGGAAGCTTAATCTGTGCATCGGAAGCTCTTCGGAAAACAATACTCTTATAATGATAAAAAGTAAATTTTAACTTTTTCAAATAATATAGTTTGAAGGCTTTCAATTAAGAATCTCTGGTATAGAATAGAAAATAAAAATTTACTAATCATTGTATAAAAAAAGAGTATATGTACCTTGTTAGTCCGGATAGCTTAGGCAGAAACGTGCGAAATAATGCAAGATATGAACTAATTTATAGCAATTTTTTCAAAGGAACGTCTTTTTTTAAAAATAATCTCCGAAATATATTTTGTAAATAGAAGTTACAAAATTTTAGAAATAGAAGCCCAAAATTTTCGTGGCACAAGCATCCATGATATGAATGTCTCTAGAGAAACTGAAAAGTTCCCAAATTGTACACACAGTCAACAATTTAATTAATAGGGAATTCTGATTTAAGTAAACAGATTACATTTTTTATTTGATAAATTTAAAAAAAAATCATTTCTGTTCTAAAAATTTAAATTCTGTTAAAATAATGGAAAAAAATCAATTGATCTATTTATATTAATGTTAGAGTTCACATTATATCTGAAAAAAAAAAACATATTGACATTGGAAGAGACTGGATGAAATGGAAGAAACTAAAACAAACAATAGAATTGTTTTATAATAAGCATTATAAGAATAGTTCAAGTTTAATCAAATCAAATATAGTACTCAAAAAATTATTTTACATACATTAAGAAATAATTACTTTGATTTCTTAAGAAATTCAATAAATTAACTTTCCCTTCCAATTTCAGTTTTAATTTATATTTAAAAATGATATATTAAAGAGCAAATATATTATTGAAATTAGACATTTCTTTTTGAAAAATTTCTTCCATTTCTTCAGCTTGGGTTAGAAAAAAACATACTTCTTTTAGAAGCGTTTTCCCCCTCGTGTATAGCTTTAGAATATGGCTATCATGAAAAAATAGCTAAAAAGGAATTCTATTGTAAAATGCTTTTCTCTTTTGAATATCTTAGTTTCATGTCTTAATTGAAGGTTCCATTATTTCTTTAAATACTTATAAGTCTTACTTAATAATTTATATTAATAGTTTGTTGTGGCGTAAAAAATGAATTTATCTCCGGGCACTGTAAACCCTAGCTACGCCTTGACGTCTAAAACAGTTTTATGTAAAACAGTTATATGCTTAACGTTATAAACATGGAAAAAAAGAGACATTCAATAAATAAAATAAGTGGTAAAAAACAAATAAAAATAATAAAGTAGTTTTTTTGGACCCTATTTTAAAGAATAATATAGGATAGTATACTGCAAGATAAAGCAGTAAGGAATGGTTATATGTAGCGAGTATACATTTGTAAGTTAGATGGCATCTTCTGTGAAACAGGTATCTTCGGATTATGAATTTCTTCTCATGATTCTGTTCAAAGCTTGTCATTCATACCTTCAACCATTATATTGGTGACAATAAATGCAATCTGAACATACACATAATCTTAATCACTAGATGGTCGAGATGTATTTGAACTCATGCCAAGTCATTAAGTTAGAACTCAGTTCTAGCTTGATCACCAACAAAGAGAATTTCAACTGAGTTCAAGCTTAAAAACTTATAAACTGAAATCAAGCCCAAAGACTTTTAAACAGAATTTAAGATTGGAGACTTGTAAACTGAGTCCAAAAACTTGTTATAGCTTATTTAAGAGGTGTGACAGGTAATATAGTTGTTACACAACTTTTGGTTACTAATTAAATTAAACCATAAAAAATCTATCACAAGTTTCAAAAGAAAAAAAATGTCTATTGGGAACATCATGGGAATTTTTCATCTCAACTAGATAGCTCTCTTTTTATACTTGATATTTAAGAGGATGCAATACCGCAAAGGAAACCATTCATGTCAAATTCTTTTTTACCTATATAATTAATTTATAATTCAAGATAGATAAAGTGAGTGTACATAAACAACAGGGAAGTCAGCTATCTCAGTTGTTTATGTATATGTAACAATGAAGAATTACGCAGTGGTGAAGTAATCCCGCAATAAATAATTTGCCCTTCGTTAATTTGAAAACCTTTTTCTAACATTTTGAAACATTTATTTTAGGTTTAGCGTAAATAAATTTTTCTCTGAAGTTTAATTTTACAGTGAAAGAGAATTTGTCACGAAAATTTCCCTCCGCAATACAGCGTCCTCTTAGCACAAAATATTTTTTATAAAAAGAAATATCTTTCTACAACTACTGACTTCAGAGCCCTCTATCACACTTTCTTATAACTTAATAAATTAATATTTTAGACATAAATATATGGTAACTAACAGAACTGCATTAAAGGGATTATTCGTGTCTGTGTCATAAAGTTACTATCTAATTTTTATAGGTCAAAAGATAGCCTTTTCAAAGACCATGAGAGCATCAGAAAACCACTATATGCACTTTAATTTTAGCCAAGTCATCACTAGAATTGGCAAAGTATTAAAGTCCTTGAAATATATCAGGAAATTAATTTCAAACTAAATTTAAAAAAAAAAACGAGTTCAATCAATTTATATTTTTTATAATTGAATAAACTTACAATACAATAAACTTCAGAATACAACAAATTTTTAATTATGTAATTCACATTTTTTATCATTCAATAAATTCAGTATATTTTATATAAAGGCAAATATTTATTTTAAATAAAAAACAAATAGTAAATAAGTGGTCCAGATATAATCATTGTGAAAAGCTTTTTTATTCAAATATCATCTATGATGTTTACAAATCAAAGAAAACTTTTTGTAAAAAAAAAAAAGTATATATGTAAAAAAAAACATAGCTGCATAAAATAATACATATTATTATATGCTACACCATGTCAAAAATTGTACTAGAATAATTTATAAAATTGCATTATGTTGATAGATCGTAGTATGATATTTTGAAATTTTTCGGGAGTTCAACTTTATTCTCTAATGGAAAATCTGAATAGATAGGGTCCTCTGAATTTATTGCGAGGTCATGAGAGAAAGGTTTCATCTCTTCTCTATGTAAGACATAAATTTACTAAACTTTTTTTAAGAACTAAAAACTAAATAAAATTGTTTTATTCTGCTGAATATTAAAAAAAAATTGTTTAATATAAAATTGTAAATAAAAGGAATTCATGAAATGAGAAATTCAACAACTTTATTAAAAACTATCCATCATCATTCATCTGTAAAATTCACAAATCTTGATATGTTCATTTTTCTTTACTCACAGTTAAAGATTCATTAGTATACATCAATAACTAAATGATGGAAAATTACAGAATTCATCAAGAAGAGCATATTTATGAAATTTGATAAGGATTTTATTGAATTTTTAACACAAAAAATCTAACAAAGAAAAAAAGCTTTTTTTGGTTGCAATATATGAATGTTTTTAGTGTTCACTTACAATGTATAAAAACCATAAGCTATCGATCTAATGCCTAATTAAAGCGAATGATAATCTGAGTTAACTAAACTAAAACTTATAAGTTGTTTTTATGACAACAAAATATTAAAACTATTAATTTAAAGTAAAAAAAGCAACAGTTGAAATTAAGCTGTTCTTCTTGCAACCAAATAAGACTTGACAAATTTATAGCGATAGTTTTTCAGTAAATAGAGAAAATAATTAACTTATTTCAGAAAATCATAACAGATCCATTCACTTATAAGTTTGAATTCTATGGAATCTAACTGTCATGTGTGTTTTCCAGTATTTATAAAACAATAAATTTTACTTGTAATAATTACTATACACTTATTAAAAGAAAATCCAAGATAGTGAAATAAAGATATTGTCAAAAATAAAAATAAATGCCCATTTTCCTTTAAAAATAAACAACAACAAATAAATACGTATTTTAGAAATTATATTCACACAAAAGTCGATCATGATTAAGTAGAATCATGATTACAAATCATGGGGAATTGTTCTTAAAATGAGTATTCATATGACGATTCAAATGACTCTTTTGATTAAAACGTTTTTTACAAATGTCACACTGGTAGGGTCTTTCACCAGTGTGTATTCTGGCGTGCCTGGTTAAATCACCCTTCAACAATGTAGAGTATTTGCAAAAAATACATCGATGTACTACTGCATAATTTCTGAGCCACTCTGAAATAATAAGTAAAATGTTACATAGAAAAGATATCTCTTTAACACAAGTAATTAGTAATGATTAACTTGTGTAAAACGCAAATGACAGGTAATAACACTAATAATTAATAGCAGACAAATTATAAAGTAATAACTAAAAAGAATTATGCTGTTTATTTAGATGTATTTTTACCAAAATTATAATTTTTTTTACATGATATAAATTTTATGAACTATTTTTCTACAAAGAATAATAAGATTCACCACTCGAGTCTACTAAACATACCGTGGAATAACAATCAATGCAGTGTTCACTTATTATGTTGGGTGAGTAGAATAAAGTATTTTCATAATATATTTCAAGTTGCACAAAGCATTACAATGATTAACGAAATCGTAACATACAGATTAATTTGGCAGCTATTTTTCTACAACTAAACCCTGTATATTTATTATACGACATATTTTATTACAATAAATATTTTTAATCAAACATTATGTTAAATATAAAATTACAAAAAGTCAAAATAGATAACTTCTTTTTTTCGTAAAAAAAATTAAATAACAGGTCAAATATTTTAAATGAAATCAAAGGTCCAATCATGATTTGCAAAATTTCCATTTTTTATTTTATTTCACCATAGATCTTTGCACTCCCATTTATAGTACATGTAATATATTTACAAAATCAGGATGTTTAAAGGATTGTCTTTTAGAGTGTTTACACTGATGATTATCCTTATTTAGAGCACTGAAACAGTTGCAATATTTTTATTCACGTTCATTACTTTATTATTAAAAAACAGAGGTGCAATTATTTTATAAGTTTACCTTAAAGGGTTACATGGATTTTAAAAAATATATTATTTAAATGTTTTATCCAATACTACATCATGTCAAGAGTATTTTCAAAAAGTTTTAAGTCAGTGAGAATATATCTGTTAGGGACAGAGTATTAGAAACCCTTTCTTTTGTGTTGGTCTGGCCAGAAACAAAAATAGAAAAACAGAGTTTTTTTTTATTTACAAAACTCTATTTTTGAAGTTGATAGAGTTTATCAAAAAAATTGCATTAACCATAATAAAATTTTTTAAACCTACTCTATGTAGAACACATTATATAATTAATAAAGTTGATTTTTGGAAACACAAAATTTGTATATTATCTAAACAAAATTTACTAAAAATCACCTTTTTGCATATAACTCAAATTTAGATTTTTCAATTTAAACAAATTCAAATTTAGATTTTTAAAAAACATTGGTACATTTCTATCAAGAATAAATGATTAAATTTTCAATGAGTTCAGTGTATTTGCTTTTAATAGGCCAGTTCAACAAGAGGAATACCTTTTTCCTTTAATTTTCAAAATGTTTAGATGAAACTTTCATAATATAAACTATAAGTTTGAATATATTATGGTCAATGTAATGAATCAGTTAATACATATTAATAATTGACATTTATTTAATAATTACCAGATAAATCAAATAAAGTGAATAATCAATCAGAGTTTTTCACATTCACCAGATATTACTAGTTAGTGTTACCACTGGAGTTTGATCAAAGTAATAATTTATGCATAAATTTCTTTCAAATTTGATTAAATATACAAAATTCTCATTACAAAAAAATGTTAAGAAACGTTATAGTTTTGTGTTAATCTTAATATTATAAATGTTAAAGTTTATATCATGTGGAGCTTTGCTGCGATACATTTTGCTGATGTTAATTTATGAACTTGAAATTTCAATTATAATTATTCATCAATAAAAAAAAAAACTAATTGAAATTTTAGGGCTATTATTTTAAATAAAAATATAATGACCTATATTTCACATAGTCCTTTATTATTTTTTAAATTCCACTTATTTCTATAGCAACAGATTTATTATCACAGCACATCATATAAGAATTATGTTAGATTTGAAGTTTCAATAAATAATGCTTAATTAATCCTAATGACCAAACATTATTGACAATTATTGATAATAACCAGTTGTGCATAATTTATCACATATAATAAAAACTGTGATCATTAATAATCACTGGTTATTACTAATAGCTGCATTTATTACTTTAACCATAAAACTTTTTCGATTATATCGAAAAAATTGAAGAAAATATGTTTTATCCTTTAAAAGCCATGTAAGCCCATAATACTTAACATTATGATGACGCAAATACATTACAATATATTTGTTTTATAATGTGTGAGCATATGTCCTTTCAAACTACACTTATGTGAAAAGCTCCTGTTGCAATTTGTACACCTGAAGGGTTTTTCACCAGTGTGAACTCTGACATGTGAGGTCAACTTTGCTTTATTTTTATTTGAGTAGTGGCAGATAGAACATTGATATACTCCGTTTTTCTTGAAGAATACTGAAAAACAAAATTACAGTTATTATTGGCATTTTGTAAACTTATTGTAGATGAAAAAAATTAAGTTTTTGAGGAATAATATATTTTATAAATACAGAAAGAAGTATAATAATCACAAGTGAAAAAATTGAAGCATACCAATGTTTCAATCTTATAACTTAGTATGATTTTAATATTGCTTTGTATACTACTGAAGATAATTATTTAAAACATCAAAACTGCTGTATGTTAAAAATTTTTCTCTCTTTATGTTATGCTGTATATGCCAGTCCAAAGGAAGTTTAGCTTTATTTACACTAAAGAATTCTTTCCATCTTTGATATTGAAGTAGGTAATTGTAAAAATACAAATATTTCTTTAAATTTCAAATGCAATAAAAAAAAAATCTAAAGGAAGATTACATTCTTACAAAACAATTATACTTGTTTTAGCCCGGAATACATTTATTGTCCTAAGGAATTGATTATATGCAATAACACCACTCTTAATTTATATTTTTAGAAACCTCGTCAAAAATGAAACAAAATAGTATGCACCTGAAAGGTGCAGAGGAAAGGATGCAAAGGAAAAACAATGCAGTCAAAATCTGTCAACTTATTGCTAAAGATTAAGAACACCAAAACCAGCTTTATCTTGAAAGTGTTGTTATGCTATCATCTCTTAGCCAACATGCCAGAACATTTTCTCTTTCAACCCAGACAGTCACATATTTGTTGTAGTGTTCTGAAATGTTTGAAGAACTTGAATTTTTGGTTGAAGATTTCATTATATATATATACATTAGATTTGAGATACACTTTCATACACTTTAGATTGAGTTAACTTTCTCATAAAAAAGATATATGCATGACCGTATGATACGCAAGCACATGGCTTTTGATTATATAAACTTGATGGGAAGGAATATTTCTGAATTGCATGCCTCAATAATGCTTTTAAAAATTAGATTGCGGAATTTGTTTATAGCAAGAGGGAAAGTGTTCTGTTTTCGGGCTTCAATTGATATTTTAGTTAGATGTTGCAACAACTTGCCTTGGTGGATACTTCGTGGAAATTAACTCACATTTGCATGACACATAGAGGAAAACCATGAAACCTCCCAGGGTTAGCTCAATGACAAGGCGATTCTAACCCATGATCTGACTATGACTGAGGATATTTTACGTCAGAACTGTGGTTCAGTGATAGCCAGAAATGAAATTCTTATCAACCAGCCACCACTCCTATTCGAACCTGGGCAACCTCTTTGCGAGGGGAGCAATCTTATCCCTGAACCACCACTGCTCTAATTTAAAGTATGACATTAATAAAGCAATATGACTGCTTTATTAATGACATTAACTTTTACATACTTGACATAAATTTTTATCGATAATAATTGATTTTTAGAGTGATAAATGAAAATAAATGGCCAATAACATAAGCAATTTGCTACAAAATAAATATATTGCTTAATATTTGTGCTTTTTTTCATACAAAATTGCTTTGCACTAACAAAAAAAATATTTAAATTTCGATAAATCAATTATAAAAAGTGCTTTTAACAATAGACAATTCTCTTACAGATAAATATGTTTAACTAACAATGCAATTGAATTCAACATTGTATAAATATCCTCGCAATATTCATCAATATTTCAAATTTTGTACATTGTCAATAGACAATCATTCGCTATTCTATGCTCTATAAAAAATATTAATTAAAAATTCTTTTCAAGGAGTGAAAGTTTTAGATTGGCATTTATATGATTTGTCTGAAAATAAATACATTACTTAAGGTCAATAATAAACATTACACTCAAGCCAGAAGTTCTCGAACTAAGAGCCCCAGCACCATACCCATAACTTAATAATGAACGGTTGCTTTTTAAAAGAAAAAAAAGTTTCCTACATATATGCCCAGTAGCAGAAATCCTGCAGCACAGCAGCAGGTGCTGCAGATTATCAAAAACAGCAAATAGTGAAAAAATTGCAACAAGAAAAACAAACAAACAAGAACAAATAAAAACTGAAGATAAAACGAAAAGATTCTTCTATNGTATGATACGCAAGCACATGGCTTTTGATTATATAAACTTGATGGGAAGGAATATTTCTGAATTGCATGCCTCAATAATGCTTTTAAAAATTAGATTGCGGAATTTGTTTATAGCAAGAGGGAAAGTGTTCTGTTTTTGGGCTTCAATTGATAGTTTAGTCAGATGTTGCAACAACTTGTTGCAAATAAAAACTAAAGATAAAACGAAAAGATTCTTCTATCTTCATTTACGAAAATCTCTAACAGTTCTTTTTACATCTTACTATAGTTCTCTCCCCGCTTTTTTTTTTTTTTTACAAAAATAAAGACTTTTCTTAATGTTCATTTTCCAGGTTATTGTTTTATTTAGAAAGATAATAAATTTCATTTAAGGAAACTTTAAAAGCATAAATCAGAATACCATAAGTTACAATTCTTTTATTTCTTTCTTTAATATGAAACACTTTTATTTCTATCTGATTTCTTTATATGGCTTACTATAAGCTTACGTTTTTTCTACTTTTTGACAAAGCTAAAGTAGGATTTCATAAAATTTAAATAAAACAACACTAAGTTTTTTTGTATAACTTTATTATATTTAATGTTTTCAAATTGTGCTAATATAGATTTGATCAAGCTTAATTTTTACAATAATATTCACTGCCTGATTGTATTAAAGTCTTAGGCAAATTTGAAATTTCTAAGATTGACTCTGCAAATTCTACTATTTGTAAGATGCCTACATGTACAATATAAGTATCGTATTTCAGAGGGTACTCAATCCCTTTGCAACTTCATACTATTCTTGTGCGAAGCAGGCTTTTTTGTAATTGCTGCTCTAAAGAATAAACATTGGAAAAAAAAGACTGAAAAAGAAATAAGAGCATAAATCACAGTTTTTATATAGTCATCTTTTCTCTTATATTATTGATATTTACAAACTAATACTCACATATTAATGCCTTATTAATAAATACAATTAAAGAACTCAAGTGGATTTTAATTATGAGTTGTGTTAACTATGCTTATAATTTCCTCCACTTATGTATTTCTATAATTTCTGTTTCATACTGTTCACATAGGAAACATGCATTGTAAGAAATATTATGCTGTATGGTAACTTCCAGCTGAAGTATAATATAAATTAAGGCATTGAACTAAAATAAGAAAAATAACGTACTTGAACAATGTATTATTAATTTTAAACATTGACCCAACTTGCATTTTGCTAGATCATTATTAAAAAATAAAAATCAGAAAGATTTCTTCTGCAATTAAAAACTGAATATTTTCATAATTGTGTGGCAAAGAATATATCAGTGATAGATTGAAAGTTACAAACTGGTTTGTGTACATGAACACACTCACCAGCCGACTTTCATCTTCACACTGTAAGCCAGATATAACTTGGCCAACAGTGTTCATCATCATTTTCATCTCTGCCAGTCTGCTCTAAGCATTATTATTCGCAAATCATCTTAAATTGAATGCATTTATTCGGAATATTAACATTAAACATTTCTAATTAACATTGAATGTGTTTATTCACAACAAATAATAATTTATTTATAAACTGAAAAGCAATTATGCTTTATTTATATCATCATTGAATAAAGGACATACATAAATAAAGTACATACAAACTGAGAACCTAGAATCTAAAAACCAAATATTTTTAGAAAAAAACGAAATATTTAAATGAAAAAAAAAATTATGAAATATTTTAAATACTATTATTAACACATTTTGCTCATTACAATGTTAATTTATTTCATAGACTGCTAAAAAATTTCCACAATAAACATATAACTTTAAATGAAGCACATGAATGTTTTCGGTTCACTGTATCAGTATATTTTTACGGTATATTAGAATATTTGAATTATACACACATTAAAAAAAACAAGAATCAGACTTTAAAATAGCTCATTGGAGAAAAAACAAAAATACCAGTAATCCAAACAAGAAGCTAAAATTTCAAATTATGTTTTAAAAGTAATGAATACATCCACCCAATGAATTAATGATATCAAATCTCAATTCAGAGATTTGAAAACTTGTTTAATAATGAAAAAACTTTTAAAATAATTTAATTACTAATAAATTATCTTGTTATCAGTGAAGTATATTTTTACTGAAACTTATTTGTACATTTTTGAGTTGATGCTCCTTTCTTAATAAAAAATGAATTTCAGTTTTTAAGTTCAAGGAAAGTTTTTCGTAAATGAATACACAACTTTAAATTAATTATTTTTATTTAATGAAATTTACAACTTTTATTGAGTTTCTTTGCATAAGTAGAAAGTAGATGCTTCATCCAGAATTGTGATAAGTAGAGAAAACATACATGCATAATTAATTTTAGAATATCAATTACAAAAACCATTTATTTAATATATATTTAATCTGTAAATTAAATGAATGCAAAAACTGAAAATATTCAATATACAAAAATTTAAAAATAAAATAAAAGCACAAAAAATTTACTAATATTTAATAAATGTGTTTACTACAAAAATGTTAAGAGATAGTAATCAAAATTAATACAAGCAAGCAATGCAAGTTTTTAAAAAAATTATACAGGGTACGATTTTCATATAACCTGCATTGGTGTACAGTTCCATATCTCTTCAGCTATTGAAGAGCAATAAATAGAAACTGGAATTGATAATTTTACCTGAGCGGCAAGTTATAACTGCATACTTTTATTCTCAAGTACATAAAACTCTTAATGTAAGATGAGCACCAAAGAAAGAAAAAACACACAAAAATATAAAAAAAAATACAAAGTTACTTTTTTATGGGAGAAAAATTTAGCAGTTCTTTCTATTGTTAGTTTTTCCTTCTGAGGTGGATCTCCCCAACTTCGCTACATCACTGTGCATATAATGAAAGGAATTAAGTATTAAAAAAAAACACTTTTAAACACTTACGAGTTTAAAAAAAATTGTTCATTCTATAATGATAAACAGTAACAAAGACAGAAATAAGTGTCATAAAAAACAACATCACTAAAATGTCTTTGAATAACAATCACGAACAGTAAGAGTAAGCAGTATATTAAGTGTCCCTTAAATGAGTAGCCATATGACGTTCTAAATGCCATTTTTGATTAAAGCGCTTTTTACAGGCGGCACACTGATAGGGTTTCTCGCCAGTGTGCGTTCTGATGTGCCTCGTTAAATGTGTCTTCAATAATGTAGAGTAGTTGCAAAAAGAACACTGATATACTCTTACGCCAGATTTGGAGGTGTACCAGTCTGAAACGATAGATAGATATTGTAAAAAAAAGTAATTTTAAAATATTATATATTCTTGAAACAATTCAGTTATTATTTAAATAGATAATCATGGAAAGATTTTTTTTTAATCAGCTGTAATTTCTTAAAAAATAATACTGCTTTTAACAAGATAAGGAAAAGTATAAACTACTATATTATAAATAATACATGGATATTGCAGTAAGTGCTTTTTTATAATAATATAAAAATGGAGACCCAAAATTACGATTATCTTGTAAAATATGAAAAAGGAAAGTGGAATGCTAATTTCACATGTAATCCATAATAAATGTTTAAACTACAAACAAAAGCATACTTTTAAGTGGTAATAAAGTATGTATATTTATTAATAGATATATATATATGACAAACATAAAATTACAAAAATCAAACCAAATATTAGAAACATAAAAGATCAAATATTTACAAATATAAAAGTGGTAAAACATAATTAACACCGATTCCTAAAATTCGACGAAATCAAGTTGAATGTTGATTTTCAATGCTATTCAAAATAAATATATTTCCCTAATTCATTTCAATAACACAAAAGCATAATCTTTTTCTTAAGGAATTTTGATTAAAATATTAGAACAAATATTACATTACAATCACGAAACAAAATATTATCGATATAAAAGAAAAAATTTTAGTGAATAAAAAAGTAGAAAACCAGAATTAATAATTTTGTAAAAAGTAATGAAAGAGCAGTTTGGATGCTGATTTCCAATGCAATTTAAAATAAATGTTTCACTATTTCTTTCTATAGGGCGATAATTATTGTCAGAAATTACAATCAAATAGGCCAAGATTTGGCTGTTTTATTGTATTTTGCACCTGTTTTTGGTAGTTTATTGGTTTGGTAGCTAATTTTCAGAGCTGGCAGATTTAGTTGCCAAATCAATAAATTGCAATAAAACAGCTATTTCTGGCCCATTTGAATGCAATTTTCAAAGATATTTGGAAAACATAAAATTAAGGTAAATAAAAGTACAGGTTCAAAGGCACATGAATAGCCAGGCCATAATAGGCAAACATCTCTAACAGTGTATGATGACATTTCCCACCAAGGTTATGGTGGATGGTTCATGGGTTACTTAGCAATTATCAATTATTATGATGTGCTCCAGCTCCTCTTTAAATGTGAAAATTTTGAGCAGAATTACCTAGCATCAGCCTAAAGCATACACTTTTTGCTATGATATATTTTTATTCAAGTTTCAAACCTAAAATTAGGATAAACACATTTAACAATACTGATATAAACATAAAAGAAAACCAGAATTCAATTTTTTTTTTCAATTTGAAGATGGCAAGTTGAATGTTTTTTGTTCAAATAAAATACATTTCATCATTCTTTCTTTTAAAATAACTAAAAAAAAAACAGTTTTTGTAACAGTAATACTGGATAGAACAGTATTTTTACTTGAACAATAGAAAAATATAAAACTATAATAATGAAAGAAAATATACTTAAAACAATTTACTTTTTAGAACAAGATTTACTTTTAAAACAAATATTTCCTAAAATGGTCCAATTAATGTAAAAATCATAATCTATAAGAATAAAAATTAATCTTTTATTCTTAATAAGTGTTTATGCAGATGCAAATAAGTAAAACACTCAAACAAAAAACATTGCTGCAAGCAAATATAAACACAATTATTCCAATTAAATGTTAGTAAGGATACAATTTAAAAAGAGATATTTAAATGAGAATAAGTAAATCATATAATAAAAAATATTGAATATACAATGGCTCATTAGCCCATTTTACTTCTTCTTTTGGAAAATTAATTTATAATTTTATTCGCAACATTATGCATAAATAAATGTAGTATATTTCCTTTTTTTTTTTTTTTTTTTAAAAAAGGAATATTTATAAAAATTTTTTTTCAGAAATTTTATATTTACTTTAACCACTAGCTATAGAATTTTTAATTTTATAGGAAAAAAAATCAGTCATTATAGACACTAAACTATATAACAAATTATATTTTGGTGATAAAAACTCATTAATACACTCAATGTCAATTAGATGGAATGGTTTTAAATAGCATTTGGCTTATAACAAAATAGAATACAGTGCATAAAATACACTATATTTCACACAGTCATTAGCATACTCTGCTCACCAGTTTCACATAATTGTAATATTTAATAGATGAAGATAATTCAAACCTAAAAATCAAAGGTTTTTACATAAAACGGTACTCTGACAAAAAACAAACAGATTATTTATTACGTGTCAGATCCTGATTATGGCTCTAATACAAGCAAATTTTGGACACCTAAATAACACCAATAATGCATATAAAATAAAGCACTCTAATACTTACTATTGATGCATGTTTACAACATCTTAAAATGAACAAGCATATGACTTTTCAAATTACCCTTATGCGAAAAGCGCTTTTGACAATATATACATTCAAATGGTTTTTCACCAGTGTGAACTCTGATGTGTGAAGTCAATTTTGATTTGTCAATATTTGAATAGTGACAAAATGCACACTGATAAATTCCATTTTTCTTTGAGAACGCTGTAAAAGAAAAGTAGACCATATACTAGTAAAACATTTATTTAATCGATAAAATTTCAAGCATGTGGAATATATATGATACAAACATATAAATGTCTAAAAAAAAATCTGGTGTAAGTGTTTGAAAAAAAGCAAGACTTAAAGACCTTAATACTGATTTATTCATCAATAAATAAATTAATAAATCCTAAAATAAAAATTATGATTAAAGAAAAATAGTTATTATACATTTAATAAAATATGAACTAGTGAAAGAATTTTACTCATTTTCCAAAAAAACTAATTTAAATTTCATAAAATTTCAGCTCTTCCTATAAATAAATTTTTTATCAAATAAAGTTAAAACTTGTTTTAGCAATGAATACCAAAATTAGAATTTATAATTTGGTAAAAATAACAAACATTCAAGTATGTACGGAAGCCATTTATATTTTCCAGCAATCATTAGCTGTAATATAAAATTTCACATAAAAAGAAAAGAGAAATACAAAGCAATACTTTTATTTCAAAACATTTTTCAGCAAATTTTAATTTCAAACAATTGTAACAAAATTTTGGATAGATACAATAAAAAATATATCTAAATGTAATTTGTAATATATACAAGTCAGAAAAAATTATATGATA